GGGGAAGGGAGGGAGGGGGAGGGGAACGCCTCATGGGGAACGAAAACACAACCTGAGGAGAAAGGAGCGGCAGAGGGGAAAAAAAAAACAAGGCGAAAGCAAACTTCATTTCCCCTTGACTTCTTTATTTTAGAAAGAAAGAAAGGTGGATGGTTGCTTCCCAAATTGGGCCCTAAAGGCGTCTATTTCAGCCGCTGTCTGGCAACTAAGTTGCCGTGCTCCACCCCTCGAAAGCCGCAGCCCATTGCATCAAAGCCGGCAACACAGCCCTGAAAAATAATTGGGAGACCAGAGGCATGGTGAGAGCAAACAGTACCTTTGTACATTTTTCAAGGCAAACAGTAAATTTTACGACTTCGTTTCCATGGAAAGCTCGACAATAAGAGAGAGCTCGACAATGAGAGAGGTGGATGGTTACTTCCCGACTACTTGGTCCATAAACCCTGAACCCTAAGGGCCTCTAATTTGAGACCATGCCTATTTAAAAGCCAGCAGTCTTCGCACTGCAGTATCTCCTACAAGGGGTGGGGGGAGGGCGAGCGGGATGACATAAACATGGCAAGAACAAACAACAACCATCTTTAGTTCATTTTGAAAAAAACAGAAGAAGAGGGGTCTGGCTCACTTCTTGTCTATCTGAACTGATTGCTCCCTAAACCCTAAGCCCTGGAGGCTTGTCGGCCTTCAACATACCCTCTGCTTGAAAGCCGGTTACGCTCTAGTACTCGTCGGCAAGCAAAGACTTCCATTCTGGTACTGCTCGGCAAGCAAAGAGACACCACATCCGTGAAAGGAGGGGAGAAGGGGAAAAGGAATATAGAAGGAAATACGGAGAAGGGGGGGCGGAGGAGGACGGGTTGTGGAACATGGCAAGAGCAAACAATAAATTCGGCGGCGTACCTGAAGCATGCGGATCTTTCTTTCCAAGTATGATTCTCCTTTCACTCTGGGAAACCATCGTAAAGGAGAGGGCTGTGGGCGCGTGGACATTCTGGGACCCCCCCGCTGAGCAGACCTGGTTAACCGTAGCGCACGCGGAGTCTGCAGCGTAGCAGCCGCTGACCGCGGTGCCTGCTGCTGCTGAGAAGACGATATGGAGCTTGGTGCCGATTCCAGCGTGGAGGATTGCGGCGACAATGGCGACGTCAGGGAAGAGGTATTATTAAGGGATGAGGAGGGACTCGATTCTAGCATACCCTTGGATTCGCACGAAGTCGCTGTGGGAGGAGGAGCAGGGATGGAAGAAGGGGGAGAAAGGTCAGCAGCGATGGACGAGGGATGAGGAGAAAGCGAAGCTGCTAGCTCACTGATACCCTTCAGGAGGATACCACCGCTGCACCCTTCAGTAGGATCAACTCCATTTCGCGGCATACAAGCCTCAACTCCGCCGTCAGCAGAGTTTTTCACCCGCGACGATGATGAGGTAAGGTCACATTTAGAAGCACACCCCTCTTCTCCTCCCGAGTCTAGATCACCAGCAGAAGTTGAGACACAGCCGCTGCTGAGAAGAACCTTGACCTCAATCCCTGGACAATCCAATCTCTCCTCCGATTCTCTCTTCTTCACCTCCACGTGGCCATGTGGCAGCTGACTCCCTCCCAAGTGGATCTCCCCTTCCTCAGCAGCGTCCGTAGATAGATCGTCATCATCGACTCGTGTAATCAACTCCTTCTCCCTCTCTCCCTTCGACTTGGGAACGATACTCTCTCTCTCTCTTTGATCTTCGGAAACAGCTGGCTTGCCTGGAGTCTCATATCCTTTCTCCCTTTCAGTGCATTTTTTGTGTTCAACAACCAAAACAGATCCTTCTGACTCCAGCATTTTCCCGGCGGTACAAGGTTCTGACTCCGCACCGTTGTTAGGTGCATTAGAGTCCTCCAATCTCATCATCAAGCTGTGGCGCCTTCCGCCACAGATCCGTCTGTCTGTCCGAATGCAGCTAAAGTCGCTGCAACAACAAACACACGATATGCAGAATTTTCATTGATCCGTGTTACCGAGACAAAAAGGGAAGAAAATAAAGAGAGAAAACAAAAAAAAAAGACGAAAAAAAAGAAAAAAGATGTGGCCAGCCACATTCCAAAAACGTGAAATACAAACAAACGGGATAAATGGTCCGAGGCCTCCTAGCTCAGGGCTTCTCCACACCACTCTCGAAATGTGCACAAGACAAAAATGTGGCGATTGCATCTGGCCATGTTCTAGCGGAAAGTTCATTCTCATTTTGCAAATTTCGAGAGTGGTGTGGCGATGCCCTCAGTTGGTACACCTACAAAGTGCTCAAATACTTCGCACCGTTGTTAAGGTGCAATGGAGCCCTCCAATCTCATCCTCAAGCTGTGGCCTTCTGCCACAGATCCGTCTGTCCGAATGCAGCTAAACCCGCTGCAACAACAAACGCGATATGCAGAATTGTCATTGGTCCGTGTTACCGTGACAAAAAGGGAAGACAATAAAGAGAGAAAGCAGCTAAACCCGCTGCAACAAATAACGCGATATGCAGAATTGTCATTGGTCCGTGTTACCGTGACAAAAAGGGAAGACAACAAAGAGAGAAAGCAAAAAAAAAAAAAAAAAAAAAAAAAAAAAAAAAAAAAAAAAAAAAAAAAAAAAAAAAAAAAAAAAAAGCGGCCAGCCACAAACAAACGGGATAAGTAGTCCGACAGGCCTACCGGTAGCTCAGTTGGTACACCTACAAAGTGCTGAAATACAGACTCACAGTTCGAATCCAGATACGGTCAGATGAGCAGAATAAAAACCATTCTAAATTACCTGAGGCCGGTCAGTTCACCGATGACATCTCCAGGCCGTCGCCCTTTCGAAAAGAAAGAAGAAGGGAAGGAAGAAAAGAGCTGGAATGAATGGTCCGAGCAGTGGCCTTTCAACACCAGCACGCACCTCGACGACCAGAGTGGATGAGGTGAAATCGAGTCCTTTTTTTTTTATCGTCGTCCAATCTCATTACCTGGAAGCTGCGGCCTTTCAACGATTAGTGAAGTGCAAAGAATGGAATAGATAACAAGATAAGAAGATATAAGACGAATGCACCTGCCAAACATACACACCTGGAATGGATGATCGACAAATGAGTGGGTGGTTCATCAATCGTATTGGCTGCGGTAGTTCTAGGCACTACCTCTTTTCAAAAGGAAAATAAGAAAGGGAGAGAGAGAGAGAGGAAGACAGTAAAAGCAAGTCTAGAAGCACCGTATCCCCCTGACGATGATTGGAGCGCAGCCGATCGAAATGCGCGTCGGGGAACATGCGGTTACGCTGAGACCACCGTCTTCACACGAATTGAACGCCTGGCAATTATCGCTCCATCTGGACTGAAAGTTGTGCCAAATGCAGCAGCTATAATGACCGGGCGTTCTATTCGGGTGAAGACGGTAGAACGCGCGGCAATGTACTGAGGATCTTCCCAAGCGTGTATGGAAGGGGGTTGGCCCACGTTTTCACTATTCTTCTTCTTCTTCTTCCTCTTCCTCTTCCTCCTCCTCCTCCTCCTCCTCCTCTTCCTCTTCCTCCTCTTCCTATATTGAGGAATTAACTAGCGGTCGTGGTGTTACTGCTGAAAACAGCAAGAAGAACTGACAGATTTTCGTCGCCCAAGTTCTGATGAAAATCAGGAAATGTACGCAATGGCGCAGAGACAAAGCAGATTCCAAAACGGAAAAACCAACTACGGAAGCAACAAAGCATGTGATGGCGATAGCGGACCAAGCAACGCGATCACAAAAGCAAACGCGACCGAACGCTAATACAATAGCTATAGCCAAAAAAGTAATTACCAGTTGTTGTGGGATTACTGTGATTCGCTGATTGATAAGCGGAGAGAAGCAAAAGGGCTAAAAGAAAGAAGCTTGCCTCGGAACATTCCGATGGACTCGAAATCGAGAAACAAAAGAGAGATTAAGAACATACATAGACGACTCGTGGTGTCGACGACCTGCTGACAATCACACGGGCAGGAGCGGCGACAAAGAGGGGAGGAGGGGGAGGGTCGGAACGCGGGAACAGCAGCAGGAGCAATGCGCGGCGGGGTCGTTCTAGCCCACGGCCACGTGTCCTTGGTACAGCCAATCGCCTCGGGCCCTGCCACCGACACACCGGTATGTCCACCTGTGTCACGCCATCGTCGCGTGGGAACAGCGGCAGGAGCAATGCGCGGGGTCGTTCTAGCCCACGGCCACTTGTCCGTGGCACAGACAATCGCCCAGGGCCCTGCCACCGACACACCAGTATGTTCGCCTGTGTCACGCCATCGTCCCCGATAATCGCTCACGCCTGTTCTTCCCGCTTTTTGTGGCTATCGGCCGAACGAGTTCCCGCGGCTTAACGACTTCCCGCGAAAAGGCGATGCCTCTGAGAGATATAATTCATTCAGCCACGGTACGCTACACTTATCCACTCAAATCGCAGATAATTCATTCCCGCGAAAAGACTCGCTGAACCCGAAGAAGGCGCAAGAGCGCGCTTTATGACTAAGAGCAAGTAGAGTTAGCAAGCTGCGTAATGGGCGGCGCTCATTCACCCGACGAGTTCCCGTTCGCCACCATACAATTCCCGCCCTACGCACTGCTACCTCCGCAAACGACTTTGAACTTCAAAAACTCCGTCAATTTCCAGGGCTCTTCATCAGGTGGCCGTTGCGATAGACTCTCTCCACAGTGTGTTTTGTCGGCGCCGCGAGGTGCCGGTGCAGTTGATGCGAGCTCAGCTTTCTGCGCCACGAGCTGCCTGCGCAAATCACTGTGAACTTCAACTCCGTCGATTTCCAGGTTAGGAACGTGGTCAAGACGAGGAGGAGGAGAAAGGGAGGAGGAGGGGGAAGACAGCAGTGCTTGTGGGAATGAAAGGCTTAAAAGCGATCAGTCGCTTCTAGCTTCGTGCCATGTGTAGCCAGACGGATGACCAGAGCTCAGCTTGCGGTCGTGGATCGGAACGTGGGCTAAGACGAGGAAGCGGGGGAAGGGGAAGAGATCATTGCTTGTGGGAATGAAAGGTTTGGAAGCGCTTCCTAGCTTCCGTCGCATCTCCACTGGGACACCTTTTTCTCGATTTATGCCAATCTTCTCTCTATCGTTCCGATTTTAACGGATGTCCAGAAGCACACCTTTTTGGGGCTGACCAGAGCTGCTGGTCTTCAATGCGTTGCGGTAAGCGAGGTGGCGGTGCGCGAGGTGGCGGTGCGCGACGTGGCGGTTGAGCGCGGAGAGAGGGAATGTCCTACGCGGCGCCTCGGCATCTCATCAGCGTCGGTGCTACCGAACCTTTTTTTTGTTTTTGTTTTTTGTACCGAACCTAGGTTCCCCACACAACCGGTTGCTTCCATGATCAGTTACGTCGTACATTTTTTTTATTTTTTTATTTTTTTGGCTGATACTGCTGTTGCTGCTGCTGCGGGGAAAGGTTGCAACAGGAGTGGGCTCTGGCGACCGATCGTGCATAAAGTAGGGGGGACCACAGCAAGGGATGGTATCGTAGTGTGGAGCAGCCCGTTGACAAATGAATGCGTCTCAGGAGTCGAGCATGACGCACCAGCTACATTCTTCCACCCCCGAACACAACGCACCCTCATTCGAAATGTTCTGAAAGTATACAAGCTATCATGCAGTCCCTCAATCGACGTAACGCGACTCAGCAGAGCAGCAGCAGCAGCAGCAGCAGCAGCAGTAAATCCTATTCACGGCCACGTGTATGGAATATTGGATCCTTCTTTTTTTTTAACTAGTAATAAATAATGCAGTCCTTCTAGAATGCTTGACAGCTTGAGATTTAAAAAAAAAAAAAAAAAAAAAAGAATGCTTGACAGCACGAGTGCCAAGCATCAGATAACGTCCCGTTGACAGCCAGACACAGAGCTCAGCAGCTGCAGCATTGAACAGGTGTTATACATCGGAATCCACGACGGGTGCGAAGGGAGCGGGCATTCTCTGCACAATGGAGAAAGGCGAGGATGACGACAACAATAGTGACCACAAGGAGCAGCTGCAGCATTGAACAGGGGTTATACAGTTATTAGACACAGAAGACTCCTTTTTTCTACCGGTCTGCTTCCATATGCATCGCGTCAAGACCACTGCCGCCAGAGTCAAGACTACTCCCGTCGTGGCGAAGTGTACATCAGAAGAAGCAGGTCCTAGAATCAGAGAGAGGCAGAGGGTACCGGGACCACACTAGTCTCGATGTTTGGTCATGGTACAGTGAGAGTGAGGATTGCATGTGCAAAACCCTCCCGTTCTACTTGTGAACACCTCTTCAGAAAAGACCTGCAGCCACCAATTGGCAGAACAACTGCCACCATGGGCTTTCTCGCTGCGGAAAAGGAGGGAGCGGGAGAGAGAAGGGGCAAAAAAAAGGGACTGGACGGGCTGACGGGAGGGAGAGAAGGGCTGTGAGGGAGAGAAGGGCAGTGAGGGAGCGAAGGGAGAGAACATGTCACTAGAAAGAATAGGGACGGAAGAGGAGGGGATGGCGTGGGGGAGCGAAGAGGGGCGGCAAACTGCGGACCAATACGAAGATGGTGAGGGCATAGCGGGAGCCACCTTCTCCTGCTCACCTCATGCGCGCAGAAGACGGTACTCGTAGTAATTCAGAAGAATGCAGCAGTAAAAAACAATAAAAAATTAAAAAAAGAAGAAGAATGCAGCAGTGTCGAAGGAAGGAAGGAGCGCCAAGATCTGTCGCTGGGAGGCGCGGGGTAAGGAAAAGGAAGCGGAGAGCTCGGCCAGCGTTAGATTGAGGAAAGAAAGAACTTGCAGCGGTGGGATTCTCCAGTCCAGCGTTAAACAATCACATCAGGCGGAACAGCAATCACAGATCAAATTCGTTAAGAGTTCGGGCCCCATTTCAACAACAATACCAGTAAGAGCGGGTCAACGTGTTGTCCCTGCAGACTTGGGGGTGACGGTGGTGGCTGTGGTGAATGGGTAGCCGACTTCGGGGGGGGTTTATGGTGGGCTACTGGGTAGGGTGTCTTTACCAAACGGCATACGCGAGAGTCATACCTGGTATAGTAGCTTGCTTTGCAAGACGATGTTTTCTGTAAAGAGGGAGGAGGGGGGAGAGGGAGGGGGGGAGAGAAAGAGGCTGTTTGGGGGACTAGGTCACACCGTTCGCTACTTTTAAAACTCTGGTAATATGAGGCCAAAAAATAAAAAGGGAAATAAAAAGGGTGATAGATGGTGTGTGCTATCTTTGATTAATCAAGTCTAATGAAGAACGGCCGGCTTACGGCAATTTCGAGGGTGCAAAACGTGTACGGAAGGGAGTGTGCTACCCGCCCGCCCAATCCCGGGCACACGTTCAGACAAACTGCTTCCTCTCTCGCCATCGCTTCAAACTCTGCACTCAACGTGCTCCCTCGCACTTGCTGTGACCATTAATTACCCTAACTATTGCCTTCTTTATATCACTCTATCCCTTTTTTTTCTCTCATCATCCCGCTCTAATCAACTCTCCACCCCTCGTTTCTCACCATTACTCTCTTGTCCTACCTCTGCCCTCCAACTATCTGTGTGACCCTCTTTCTCTCTAACCACCTCTAACTATCTCTGTTAGCATCTCAGTTTCGCCATCTCTTACATCGCATCATCTCTCTCATCATCCGGATCGTAATCGCTCTCGCACCGATTGCCACACAATTGCACACAGCATATCCCTTACCACCTTGCGTGCGATCGACTCTCCACTCTCTCGCTCTCACTCGTGTGTCCTCCCTCGGCGGTCATCCCCTGCCCGTCATTTTTTCAATCACTGGTCTGCTGATTGAATTACAACAGACGTGCGATACGAGTGAGGGGTGCGCGTATGGTGGGTAAGTGTGGTGGGTAAGTGTGGTGGGTAAGTGTTGTGGGTAAGTGTGGTGGGGTAAGTGTGGTGGGGTAAGTGTGGTGGGTAAGTGTGGTGGGTAAGTGTGTGTGCGTGAGAGAGAGAGAGAGAGTACCCGAATGAAGAAGCAGCACGAGAACGACCGATTGAAGAGCAGCAGGGGGAGAGCAAAAGCGACCGAGTGCCAGTGGCCGACCGAGTGACATCTGGCGACTGATATCGAGCGAGTGCCAGTGACCGATCGAGCGATGTCGAGAGAGAGCAACAGCTACAGAGTGCTAGATGGTAAAACGAGACGCTGAAGTCGGCGAATAACAACGTAAAGCGAGCGATATTGAGAAACACGGCAGCAGCAAGCGAGAGCAAGAGAGCGAGACATATCAAGTACCGACCTTGAGAGAGAGACGAGGCAGCAGCGATCAAGCGAGGGAGCCACAGAGACAGAGAGAAACCAATCGGATGCAAGGTGAGGGAATGGCGGGCACTTCCCCAGAGGAGGCGGCTTCGTCCTCTACGGACGCAGCGACCGAACGAGCGAACGAGAGAGAGAGAGAGAGAGAGAGAGAGAGAGAGAGAGAGAGAGAGAGAGAGAGAGAGACGCGAGGTGAGGCAATGGCGGCCACTTGCCTGGAGGTGGGCGCTTCGGCCTGTAACGGCGGCTACGGCGGCCTTCTCCAGCCCGTACTTCTCAACGGCGAACTCCTCCAGCGCGGGGTAGCGCACGAACTCTCCAAACGACCGGCGGCGGCAATTGGGCAGGAAGGCGGCAAGTTGCAGAATAGCGTAGCGCTGTCCTTGCGTTAGAAACCAAAAGGCATTCGAAGTTTGAATTCCGGCGGCTAGCTGCCGCCAGAACGCCTTTCATGACGACGGAAACTTCCCGAGTCGGTACCGGCGGGCTACCGGTAGGTGCCGGGCACAGGGAAATGGGAGTCCGAGCGGGACAGCAAAAAGACGGAAAGAACAAACGGGAACCGACTTTACTCCATCCTGGAAAAGTAAAAAAGGTATAGATAAAGTTTGTCCAATTGTTTTCTGGGTTCCCAAAAAAAAAGAAAAGAAGTGTTTTCTACACCCTACCCCATGAATGAAGGCGTCTGGCCTCAACGCACCCGTCAAGCCCCTTACGTCAAGCGACACCACACATCTTTGGGGCCGAAAAAGGCGAGAGAAGGGGAAAAATAGGGTCGACGAGGGGGAGGGGGTGTGATGGGCAGGACATAGCAAGCCATGCGGCGAACCTGAAGCGTTCGGATGTTTGGGGCAGGCTACATTCTTTACTGTGTACCGCGCACGCACGGCGTGGGAGGCAGCCCGGAGGGTGTTTTTGTTTTTTGTTTTTGTTTTTTTTAAGGGTGTGGGGGTCTTGGAGCGCTTTTTGGAGACCCCACCCCTCTCAAGAAAAGAAAAATGGCTTGCGTAGTACCGGAAGGCCGTTTCCCAGGCAGCTTGTTCGGCGCGCATCAGATATAGACCGGAGTTCAAACTCAATCAGTTTGTTGTGCGGCCGCAAATTGTTAGCAGGCATCGCAGTTTGCTACACAGGGGCGAGGTCCCACTAGCAAACAGGATTGGATGAGCGCCTGAATCTGGACGCATTTGTGGAAAGGGGCACAAATGCGAGATTGAAGTGCTTGTCTACATTTGGGTTAAAACGCATCCAGATTCAGGTGTTCCATCCAATCCACTTCGCTACTGGGACCTCGCCCCAGGGCAAGGAGGGTGTGTTTGTGCGCGATTGGGGATTTATGCACGAGTGTTTACAACAGGTCTTGTAGTCAGTCCGTGACAACCCGGCACACAAGTCCTCTGTGCCTGATTTTTTTTATTTTTATTTTTTTGACCTGATTTTTTTTCGTCACACGCACAGAAGTGTGTTGTGTTCCCAGCGTCAATGAAAGTGAAAAGCAAATACTGTGCGGATTACTGTGCGATTGGACGTCGAGCCTATGGACTACCTCTGAGTCACTCTATGGTTCATTAGTGGCTTTGTGCGGATTACTGTGCGATTGGACTTCGAGCCTAAATCCTGTTCACTATAGATTACTGCTTGAGAGATAATGGCTGGAAGGAGGCCGTGTCTGAACCGTATTGTGTACCTTGCATCTCACACATGGTCTTCCCCACATGCGTCAAAGAGTGTTACCCTGCTTGAGAGATAATGGCTGGAAGGAGGCCGTGTCTGGATGGATGCATGCACGAAGGTCAAACCCACGCGCGTTGTGTGAGGGAAACATCTGGCTGTGTGATGCCTTATTACTTGTCAATTTGTGTTAACATTTTGGGTGTTAGAGTGTTTTAGTGTGCCTATTAGCACAAGTTTCTTTCCCAAGGAGGTCGGAGAGGAATTACTCCCGCACATTTTCGTAGTTTTCTGTCGGTCTGTATTTGCACAGCTGTTTACGAGGATTTCCTCTGGCTGAAGGGTTTGCATAGTTATATCGTTATTAGTTCGGCCACCTTTTATTGAGCTTCAAGTTAATTTTTTGAGAAGTTTTATTTCTGTTGAGAATAGAGGGGTCCTGGGACGCTGGACCCGGTTTCCACCAAGGTTCTTTGTGACTCCGAGTTGAATTGTGAGGTCCCCGGCCTCAGCCATTCCTTTTTGAATATAAAGTGACAACTTCTCAAAAAAAAAAGCAAAAAAAGCGAAAAAAAAAAAGCAAATACATCACTATGACCTTGTTGTGGAAGGTGAGAGCAAGAAGGAGAGAGAGAGAGAGAGAGAGAGAGAGAGAGAGAGAGAGAGAGAGAGAGAGAGAGAGAGAGAGAGAGAGCAGGACACATTCAGGGACCTGTCTCTTATACACATCTAGATGTGTATAAGAGACAGGGATATACCTCAAGAACAAGATACGAACTGGCAACCAGGCCGACCAGAAGACCATCCGAGGTGGCAGTATCCAGATGGTCGACAGTCTTGGGTAGCTCCTGCCCAGCCACAACCGCGCANGAGAGAGAGAGAGAGAGAGAGAGAGAGAGAGAGAGAGAGAGAGAGAGAGAGAGAGAGAGAGAGAGGGAGCATGGCACATTCAGGCAGGGGCCATCGTTGCCGTCGGAGTTATATGATCCAAAGACAAGCTCAAAACAGCACCATCACTCACACTCACTTTCACTTTCTCCGGGGTCCACCATCAGCTCCTGTCTACTGTTACATGTGTGTCTGCCAGGCTCATGAAGGGTGCTATTGCACTACGGAGCAGATGTCGTGGGAAACAGCCTCCTTAGGGCATAGGGGCTCGTTAGACACTCCTCGGGAACACAAAATCCCCAAGGAATTGTTCATTCCACCTATCCAATTGGAAAACAAAGTGAAAACACTCGTAAGGAAATTCATCGGGCAATAGGACTTTCCCCAGCCATTTCTTCCTATTGCCCAAGGGACGTCGCGAGGTCCGTTGGGCAATAGGAATCTGCGTCTCATGGAGAGGAGAGGTCACACTCATAGAGAGACGTTACAGCGGAGAATCTGGATCGTGGCGGCACCCTGGTAGTGGCTGAAGGCCTGAAGCACAACTGTGTTTTTTTTGCTTTCTTCTTTTTTGACATCGCTCTTAGGGAATGTCCTCGGGCGATGTCCCCGAGGACAGGTGGAACGACGGCCCAATTTTCTTGTTGAACCATTAGCAATTTTTCCTATTGCCCGAGGGTTTCAAAAGGAGTGTCTAACGACACCTGTACTCACACCAGGACTTTTTTACTCACTCATTCCTGGACGGAAATTGTGGCCACATGCATACAGTTGTGGCTGGAATTCTGGTGCGATGCATGTTAAATAGTAAGAGTATGCCCTTACTCTTAATCCATCTTCCCGTTGTCGATCACCCTACTTTTACAGCACACGAGGATGTATCCAGGCACAGGTTCTCCCTTCGCAACACAACACACTACATGTATCTGAGCCGAAGAGTGACTAAGATATATTTTCGCATTGATTCAACATTTCAAAGGCTTGAGGGTAATTCCGAAAAAGAGAAACAAAGTTTCGAAGATCTTGGTTTGACCTTAAGTTCAAGCTGGTTATGTAAAATGAGGTGTTTGCATTTTGTTTATCATTGACCCCTCTTGAGAGTGATGCTTGGGCCGTGAGCCAAGGTGACGATGTGGAGAGACAGACGCGAACAGGTCTTGTGAACGGGGAGACGAAACAAGTTTCTTAAACCACCAGTACCTTTCTCAACCATTGATGTTGAGCCCCTACTACCGGTGAGTCGAGCCTTGTCGAGCCTCACGCTACTGATAGCGCAACTTTCTTCATTTATGGAAACAAAATAAAAATAAAAAAAGGGGGAAAAAAAGTGAACAAAAAATAAAGAGAATTACGAAATCCCGCCACATAAATGAGAGAGAGAGGGATGCTAAACGGGAATGCATCTTCCCATGAAAATGGAAAGATGCATTCTCATTTGAGAGAGAGAGAGTTCCCCCGCGAACATTGTGCAGGACCACGCACAGTTTGTCGGGTCTCTCTCTCTCTCTCTCTCTCTCTCTCTCTCTCTCTCTCTCTCTCTCTCTCTCTCTCTCTCTCTCTCTCTCTCTCTCTCTCTCTCTCT